AAACTTACAGAAATGCTAATAGTTGGCTAAAGGTCCTTTGGCCATTTTCACCTCAAGTAGTTGCTTTTAGTAGGTGTCCACAAGCTTCTGGTTGTCCTCTGCAATGTTCATGGTCATGCAAAGGACAAGTTAGGATAGTTTTGTGTGGCTCTGTCCTATTTACAAAGCAGGGCTGCATACAAATGCATTTTTTGTCTTTTTGACAGCAAGCAAACAATGAGGAAATATGAACAGAGTTTAACAAAAGCTATTATTGGTTAGAATTGAACACTCCATCTTTAATATGTGGATTATTTTCTTTCTTCAAGAAGAATATGTCAGAGAATAGGAACCTGGGATGCAAACTAACAATTATTTTCATTGTCGATTAATTCCGCTGATTATTTTTTCCATTGATCGGGTAGTTGTTTGGCCTAAAAAAAAAAAAAAGTCCTGATAAACGATCTTTGATCACGATCTAATCCGTGTCATGTATTATTTCATATCTGGTCCCAAACCATATTTTTCTCCTGGAAAATACCGTTACGCAGTGCACAGTTCAAGCACATCAGTGGAATCAATCTGCAATGCATTAAGAAGAAACACCTGCATCCAAGGTCTCTTATATATTATTTTTATCCATATTTTTGCTAAATAACAAAGTAAACAAACTCATCACAGTTGTATTCTCTACAGCGGCGAGCTGCTCATCCAGCATGACTAATTCAGTTCCCTTCAGTTTGACCTTGTCGCTGTCTCAAGGAATTTTCACGTGTTGAGGATGTTTCACATCTTCACATGACTTGTTTTGTCCAAAACCTTAAGATATTCTGTTCACTGTCAGAAAGGTGGGGGGAAAAATCACACCTTACTTTTTTCCCCTTAAAAATGACGCAAATCAAAGAAAAAGTGAAAATAATTTAACAGTAGTCGACAAGCTCCTTAACTGATTGCAGCTCTAGCAGTGATCTGCATCTGTGTCGGTCAAGCTGGACTTGTAGACACATTTTTCTAAGTTCATTGATATTTACTGTGTGTCTGTTTGTATTTGCTGTCAGAAGAATTAGTGACGGTTTTACAACTCACTGCAGACTTTGAAAATGCCACAAAAAAAAAAAAGCCTTCAGAAGAGGGTTTCATGTTGAGAAAATGAAATGAACACCAGAAGAAAGAAGATATATATATTTTTTTACCCCTTTGGTCTATTAAAATTGGACTTATCTAGGATTTTTCTGTTCAGCAGATCTGGGAGATTATTCCCCCTGTGGCACAAGTGCACTGATCTGTGGCTGCAAAAATGTTGGAATTCTGCCTCGGTTCTGTCTCAACTCTACAAAGCCTACAAAGTAGAGACGTGTTTGATAATATCCTCTCTGAGACACAGATTTTCCACCTGTTTCACCCCATCTCTCGTCCTGTTTGTGCAGAGAGCGTGAGGGACGCAGTGGGCAGGAAGGTGAAGTTGTCACTGAGGAAGAGAGTCAAACTGGAGATCAAAGGAGACAAGATGGAGAACAGAGTACTGGTGAGTTCAACGCTTTCAACCTGCTGCTTCATTAACAGCAGTCAAATCTGTCGTCTTCTCTCTGAATTTCTCTGCTGCTTGAAATGCACGGTTTTGAACATCAAAACCTTCCTGCTTTTCTCGCTCTTGTCTTCAAGCCCTTGAAAGGTTTTCATTTATTTAACCTGCACTTTCAGGTCTTTGATTTCGAGGTAATTTCCTGCGAATCAAAAGCAGAGAGCCTGAACATCTTCTGTCTCATTCAGCCTGTTTGTGAAGTTGGTAGCGGAGTCGTAACGGGAAATTTTTAAAAGCCTCGTTATCTTTGAGTCCCACTGGTCACATTCAGAAGGTTTTAGACTTAATTGCTTCCCAGCATCAGCTCATGTGATTTTTTTCTCTGCTGGGTTTCTGTAGCCAAACTTTTAGGGCTTCAGCGAAGAAAGTGCTGCACAAGATGTGAGTGTCTAATGACTTATTGCAGTTTGATTGAGGGAGCTGCACTGTGAGCTGCATCTTTTGCCAGTATTTGTTAACATTTTGGCTCAATTTGCTCCATTTAAATGATGCTGAATTTGCTGTTAGCAGTTCTTGTTTGCAGCGTACGCATGGGTTGCTTCTATACTGAAGGAAAAGGTGATGATTCACAGCAAAGTTCTGGACTTTTCCTGTGATTTCTGATGATATACTCACTTTGGATGGCAGGGATAAGGACTTCCCCAGAGAGAGCAAGTCACACTGAATCTACAGTTTTGTGTGTGTGACTGGAAGATGGAGCATGATTTGATGTAAATTGTGGCAGTCAGTTTTTTAAAGTTTGGTTTTAGGTTTAAAGGGCTTCAGTTACAATGAAAAGTCCCGGTAAAACAATGAAACCGGCACCTAAAGTTGGACACATTGGTCCAGTACTGAGGTTTATTCCTCCAGTCTAACTGTGGGGACACAACAGCCCTCTTTCAGTATCAGACACAACATCCAATCAGCAACCTACATGCTGAAAATGGCGAGTTTTGACGAAGACTTGGTTCATGCAATAAGACAGATCATTCTTTCTGTGAATGAATCCGAAGATCTGCAAAGAATATTTAAAGCTCTCGTGTTGTGCCTCTCGTGTCCCCACAGTGTCTTTCTGCAAAGTTGGTTTGTTTCAGCACAACTGTATAACTCCAGGTTTTAGTTCTGTTCAAACCAATGAGCTGCTGTGTTTGTGATTGTGGTGGAGAAAGTTGAATGAAAACTTGAAGAAAGAAGACTTCATTCGTTGGTGTATTAAAACTGGGCTTACTGTATTTAGAAGTTTTCTAAGATGGGAGATTAAAAGTGCCCTGTCTGTGTCTGTTAAAAATGATGAAATTCTTTCTCAGTTCTGTCTGACGCTGGACGACTGTTGGTTAGTGAGGTGTGAGGACCAGTTTCCTGGGACCTTTAGGTTCACTTAGCACCTATACACCGTTACCTTGACCGCTGTCTAAAAGGGACCCTCCTGCATGTTTGCCCTCCAGTTATGGAAAAAGCGTCACTTTCTAAGCATGTTCCATCCAAACTGCATCCTGGGCGATTTTATTATTTAAAATAGATGTATAAAACTGCAGAATGACCATGTGTCAGACAGACACAGCACTGTGGAGGAAGATGTGGCTCTGCAACACTATCAGGTGGAAATAGCAGCTCAGACTATTAACTTTTGGCCGCAGAGCAGCAAATCCACCGGCTGCTTAATATTTAATATCTGGTGGATCATTAAAAATGCATATTGGCTCCTTCTGGGATGAGCCGAGAGGCTGAAGATAGTGAAGAGTTCAGCAGACGTGTGTCTGGGCAGGTCG